ACAATGTCCCCAGTACTTGGGTTGATGGTGAAAAGTTCCTGCTCAGACTCTTCCAGGAAGGCAAAAGTGAGCTCGGCATTGGCCCCATCATCTGCATCTCGAGCTTTGATCTGGGCCACCAGGGAGTCACGGGAGGTCTTGCTGGACACACTGATTTCCACCGTCCCATTAGTGAGCACTGGGTGGATGATGACAGGAGGGTTGTCATTCTGGTCCACCATCCTCACTTTGACAAGGGTGCTGCTGGAGAGCTGTGGGGATCCACCATCAGTGGCCTGGATCCTCAGGTCCAACTGTTTAAGGATCTCGTAGTTGAATGTCCTGAGGGCATAGATGGCCCCAGTGGCGGGGTCCACCGAGACGTAGGTGGAGATGGGGGCCCCCATGACTTGTGTTTCCAGGAGCCGGTAGGTGACCTTACCGTTGTGGCCAAGATCAGGGTCACGAGCCACCACTGTAGTGATATAGGCACCTGGGGGGTTGTTCTCTGGTACGGCCACCTCGTAGAGGGGCTTGGCAAAGAGCGGCGCGTTGTCATTCTCGTCGCTCACCCGCACCGTGTACTGGCGGACAGTCTTGAAAGGTGGTGAGCCCAGGTCCTCGGCCACCACAGTGAGATTGTATTCAGGGATGCGCTCGCGGTCCAGTGCTGCTGTGGTGACGATCATGTAGCTGTCCTCATAGGCGCGCTGCAGGGCGAAGTGGTCATGGCCGCGGAGGCTGCAGCGCACCTGCCCATTGGTGCCCGAGTCGCGGTCTGAGGCGCTGACGAGGGCCACAAAGCTCTCGCTGGCTGCTGCCTCGCTGACGTAGGCCACGCCAGCGGCGCTGGCAGCGCCACGGAGGGCGCTGATGCTGATGCGCGGTGCGTTGTCATTGACGTCAGTGAGGCGCACGATGACGGTGCAGGTGGCAGCGCGAGGGCTTGCACCACGGTCCTGGGCACGCACGTCCAGCTCATAGGTGCGGGTGCGCTCATAGTCCACGGTGGCCTCCAGTGTGAGGCGGCCTGAGCGTGGGTCGAGGCGGAAGAGCCGCCGCGCCTCGGGGGGTACCTGGCTGCTGAAGGCATAGACCACCTCACCATTGGGGCCCTCATCAGGGTCAGCAGCATCCAGATCGAGCAGTAGGGAGCCGGGTGGTGCATCCTCGGGCAGCTCCACTGTGACTGAGCTCTGGGCAAAGGTTGGACTGTTGTCATTGGCGTCAAGGACACGGACATGCACGGTGGCTGTGCCCGAGCGTGCTGGACTGCCACCATCCTTGGCCACCAGCTCCAGGGTGTAGGAGGGCTGGCGCTCACGGTCCAGCTCCTGGAGCAGCACCAGGTCCGCACAGCGTGCCCCATCTGCCCGCGTCTGCGCCTCCACACCAAAGTGGCTGTTGAGGGAGACCTGGAAGCTCTGTATGGAGTTGGAGCCTACGTCCTCATCTACAGCCACCTCCAGCGGGAGGCGAGTGCCAGGTGTGGCACTCTCCGACACCTCCAGCGCCATCTGGGCATGGGGGAAGCGTGGTGAGTTGTCATTGATGTCACGCACCTCCAGCTCCACGTGCACCAGGCGGTAGCGCTCCCTCCAGCAGCTCACCACGTCGAAGGCCAGGACACACTGGGGGGCCTGCCCGCACAGTCGCTCCCGGTCCAGCCCTGCTTCACCGATGCTCAGCTGTCCGTCCTCCTCCCGCACCCGCACCAGCGAACTGTTGCTGAACTGCCTCATCATGCGAAAGCTCATCTCCCCCGGCGCCTTCACGGGCATCTCGTCGGCCAGCGTACCGATCACCGTGCCCGGCGCGCCCTCCTCGTCGGTGCGGTACCTCACCGTCTTGCAGCGGGACAGGGCGAGCAGGCAGGCGGCGGCCAGCAGCCGCAGGGGGCTCATGTCAGCGGCGCAGGGCTCAGCCCGATGGCGCGGCGCGGACGGGGACGACTCTGTGCAGTATCGGGGGCGCAGCACCGCTCAGCACCAAGACACCTCCACCGCCGTCTGCGCCCCCCGCGCCGCTGCTCGGCCTTTCATAGACGGCGCTATGCAAATGAGAGGGCGGCGGAGCCAATGGGAGGCGGCGCCGCGCGGGCGGCGGGCGGCCCCCGGCGGTGCCCGGGCCGGGCGGGAGCGGGCGCGGGGCGCGCGCCTTTGTTTTCCTTAACTCTCCGGGGTCTGGGGGCTTCCCTTTCTCTTTTTTTTTCCCTTTGGTTTTTTTTCTCCCCCCCCCTCCCGTTTTTATTCCTCTTTTTCTCTCTATTTATTTCTTCTTTCCCCCTCCCCCCCTTCCATTCTTCCCCCCGTCCCCGTCTCTGCGCTCTCTCCGGACGCGCGGCAGCGGCTCTGGCGCGGGGAGCACGGCGTACAGTGCGCGGTGGGGTTTGTCAGTCCTGCCACAGGTCGGAAAGGTGCCGGGGCATGCAGCGTCATGCCGTGTCGTGGCATGTCGCGCCGTGTCGTGGCATGTCGCGGCGTGCCCTGCGGGCGCGGGCAGTGGTGCGGGGCGGGCGCGCATTAGCGGGGTGCGGGGGGTGGCGGTGGCCGCATTCAGCTGCGCGCCCGGAGTGGCGTGTCACTCGCGTGAGAGCCTGTGATCAGCGCCGTAAGTCGCCTTTCAGGAGGTGTCCCCGCATGCTTTAGTATGCATGTCACCGCCCGGGTTTCTTAAGCCTGGGGCACTAGCAGGCGAGGAGGAAAAAAAGGAAAAAAAAAAAGTTCCAAATAGGATTTAGCATAAGCTTGAGGAGATTTGGAAAGGTTTCAAAGATCAGGCTGTATCAAAGGCTTATGAAGCCCTCGTTAGCTGCAGAAATATAATAGCATGGCAGGCTATCCCATTCGAGGAACCAATGTCTGTATTATTTCACTATGACAGGCTAAAGGGAGAGAAAGTTGAACAGTTTCCACAGAGGAGTTGGACTAAGTTGAATATAATGAGCAAACGCCACATGTATCCATTATGTCCGTCTATTCATTCCCAATCACTGCCATAACTCTTTGACTAAACGATGATGAGCGCTGAATTACACACAATGCCCTGCTCATATTAAAATACATTTAAGACCTATCCCTCCTGGTGCCCTGTTACGCCTATTCACAGGATTTTCTTTTTGTCCTAATAGGGCCTCTCTGGGAAGCAACACCAGTCTCGTTCCAGAAGAACAAAATAACAGCATGAGGCTGAAACCTGGCACGAACCGGGGGGAACGAAACCATCTGCCCTGCAAGGCACCGAGGCCCTGTGTGGAGCCGGGCGCAGGCTCCCAGAGCCGCAGTGCCTTGGCGGCCATGAGGAGGGCTGTGCTGGCCTTGGCCCGCAGGGAGGAGACCCTAAGCGAAGGACGATAGGGATCCTGAAGGACAACTGCCTTCCTTCCTCTCCTTCCTCTCCTTCTTCTCCTTCCTTCCTTCCTTCCTCTCCTTCCTCTCCTTCTTCTCCTTCCTTCCTTCTCCCTTCCTCCTTCCCCCTTCCCCCTTCCCCCTTCCCTCTTCCCTTCCCTTCCCTTCCCTTCCCTTCCCTCCCTCCCCTCCCCTCCCTCAAGGAACTCAAGACATGCATTTTACAGGGAGAGGGTGAAAACCAGAACGGGGCCGTGTCCAGGGGTGTCCCGGGGGCGTCCTGGGGCTGCGCGGGGCGGCACGCGAGCGGGGGGCTGCGGGCTGCCCGCAGCACCGGCTTATGGAAATGGGATTTAAATCGCTCCTCAGCCCTGGCTGCGGGGGCGCGGGGAGAGGGGGCCACGCTCCGCCGCCAACAAAAGCTCACCGAACGCCCAGTTTCCATACGAAAAAGCTCCGCGGAGCTCCTTTCTCCTGCCCGCGGGAGCTCCGCAGGCGGTCGCCCGGCGGGGCGGGGAGAGGCCAGGCCGGGCTGCCCTTAGCCGGATCGTGGTCCGGACCGGGCCGTGGTCCGAGGTGTAGAGGCCGTGGCCGAGCTGCCTGGGAACGGGGCCGCCGGCCGGGAGCGAGGAGTGGGCAGCGGGGCGGCCCCTCGTGTGTAACAGGATTATCTTTGCCATTTCAAGTTCCATACAGCATGTAATTTATTTTTAATTAGGATTAGATCGAGCAGGAAAGGAGACCAGACCTTTCCGCCCACCCTCTACCTCCCCCTCCCCGCAAAGGCATGGCTATTCCACGAGGAGCTCTTATTCTTTACAAAAAAGCCAATCAATCGATAAACCAGGACCTGTGTTCACCTCCCATGCACTCTGCAGGAGAAGAGGGTGCAAGGGGCTGTATTTTCAATGTGTGCTCAAGTATTTGAATCAGAAAGAGACTTGGAAATCCTTCCCCTTTCCCATCTACCTGGTCCCCATCTCAAATGCTTACAATCCAAACCCATTCTTAAGAGCGTCCCAGTGGGGTCTTGCTTCTCACACCTTTTTCAATTTTTTTCTTTTTTAGAGGGCAAATGCACTTTCTGCCTGCCTGAGTTATTCTCTTTCCACTGTCGTGACTTTGATTTAAAAAAAGCCCTGACATATCAGTGTCTCTGCTGGAGCAAAGCCTTCTCCTCAATAGTTTGGATAGAGTCCATCACAGAAACGTTCTGAAAGGCTAGTGAAGAATCCTGTTTTACAGCTCAAAATAAACATACGGATCAGCTGCATTAAAAGCACTTCTTTGAAATATTGTGGTTAAACAGCCCAGATTGGTTGATTGCTCCATGCGGGGACATATGTTCTTGCAAACTGTGCGTATTGTTACTAATGGGGATTCTCACACCACAGCCTTTCCTTTGAATCTGAGGCACTGGTGGTTTCTCTGGAGCTGTTGCAAGGTTGTTTTAATAATTTACCAGCTCTCTTGCACTTAGTGTTGTTGCAGAGACTCAGAGCGTGCAAAGAAGGAGGTGTTTTGTGGTGTCCGGAGGTCTGATCTCTGCTGCCAAGCTCCTTTCCATACCTCTTAGACACAGAAATCAAAGCTGCTCTGAGAGATGGGTATCAGGCAAAGGAAAAAGCAAAGCTCCCACACTCACCTCTGTGAACCTGGGTTCCTGGGTAATGTGTTGCTCCCAAGGAGTAGGAGCACTCCTACACCACCAGCCTGATGTCAACAGCAATCAAGTCAGAGATCACCAGCAAATCACTCGAGGTTCTCTTTTTTAAACTTACCTTTTTTTCCTCCTGATTCTGATTCAGCCCTTAGAAAAAAATTTGTGAGTGCTTTACCCTCTCCCCAGGTAGTTACTGCCTTAGGTGGAGCAACGAAACCCCAGGATCTCATCCTCTTCTTCACTCCTCCAGCTGAGCACTGACACTGCTGTGGCCCTTTTCACCATCACCTACAACACAGTAGGTTTGCATATGTGTATCAAGGTGTCAGTGCCCCCAGCACAACAGGGTAAGACTTTCGTTCTCTCAGCAGATGTCTGGGATCCTCTCCAGTGATCTTCGTTGATGGAGATAAGCTAGAAGGTGTTAAGTTTTGGTGGTGTGAGAGAAGGTAAGAGTCCCAAAGAATTCCAGTCCAGTACATCAGGACCACATATACCTTGAGGGAGAATGTGCAGCTTCATGCAAGCATGGGGTGGTGGAAGCAAGCCAGGCTTTAAGAAGAGGTGGCTGTGTTATATGTGCTTCCCTATTCCCAGAAGATCTTAGGGGCACCAAGCCTTGGCTATTGAAAGTTCCCCTCTCTCTTTGGCCCTCTCAACATAGGCTGATTGGTGACTGCATGTCTTTGGGGTGATGTGTTGGGATCCCCTTGTAGCATAAGCCCTAGGATGGTATGACTTTGCTGTGCCTCTCAGAAGAAGTCAGGATATCTGGGCATGGTGTCCTGCTGGTCCTGCTCACCAACATACTTAGAGGGTCTTTTTGACTTCTCTCCAGATGTGAAGTTGAGATGAAGCATGTCACCCCATCCCTTGTCTCTGAGCCTGTGGAGTAGTGGCAGAGACTTCCCTCCCTGGAAAATCCTCTCCATGCTCAGCCCCTTCCTCTTTCTTCTTGGGCACCCCCACGGGCTTGGCTGCCTTGGAGTGATCTACAAAAACAAAGGAATTCCTTCTGCTTCACGGCCTAAACAATCCCCCCTGTTTAATCATTTCTACTGAAACCAAGGAAGTGCGGGTTAACCTGTCAAGCTCCACAAGCCTGGGCTGACCAAAACCCCTGGAAAACAAAAGAGTGGAACAAAGTGACAAAGGGTTTTGTTGCTCTATGACTGTTTGTGTTGGAGGGTAGCATGAAGCATTGTGCTTCTGTCTCTGGCCACGCGGGCTTATAGGAGACAGAGGCTGCAAACCTTCCCATGAGGTGTGGGTTGGTACTGGGGTTATAAATCATTCTGATCATTTGTTTATTTACTGCAAATGCTTCCCTGCCTGCACCTCCCCTCTGTGAAATGTGGGTTGGAAGAAAGAGTTTGTTTTGCAGAAGAAAGAAATCGTGTGCCCGTACCCCCCACCTGGCAAGCAGTTTTGATTCCACAGGGAATTTATTTTTTAATTGGATTAATTTCTAGCCTCTCCCAGAGTAGCAGCTGGGATCTTTGATTCAAGAGGTTAAAACAAAGGGGCATGAAACAAAAGACCAGTTCTTCGCATTCCCCACACAGCGTGTGCCTCATGGGCCTCGTGCGAGCTGCCTGGAGGTATCCGTTCAGCAGCGCATTCCTAAAGGTCTCCCTATGTCGCCCTCTGTCAGGGTCTAGTGCATGTTTTTTTGGGGTGCTTCATAGTCTGTCTTGCCTGCAAGGTATCTGAATGCGAATTTTTCCCTCCTATCCCATACAACCTTACCCCTTGGTGTCCCTCTCCTTTTCTGCTCCCCCCCCCACCTTTTCCAGGTCTCTTTACTTTTCTGCCCCAGAAGAGGTAAGTGAGGCTCTTCAGCTGTTAAATCAGGAGGCAGGTGCTCTCATGTTCAGTTCTCAGCTTTCTCATCTGGAGCAAGGCTCAGCCCCAGCAAGGTCTGGGATATTTAGGTATCCAATTGCCATTGAATGCCATGGAAGTTGAGCATATTTTAAACTGGATGAGGGCTGAGTGTCTCTCAGAATCCACCCCTCATGTCCACAGACTGTGGGTGCATTGGACCAAGTCCTGCCATTTACCCACCATGATGACTACTGAGTCAGAGTTGCCCTTAGAAGTAACTACCTTTATTATGCAGGTTCTTTGTAGCTATTTTGCCTGAGTGCCTTTGGTTTTAAGGAGTGCAGGTAACAGAGTAGTTATTCATGTCAGTCTCCAATCTGGACCTTTAGAAGAAGTGCTTACCTTCTTCAGAGCTTGAGAAATGGTTAGATCACTGGGATGCACAGCTTCTCTCCCTGGCTGTTGGGAGCTGGTGCTCCCACTCTGTGGTTGCTGCTGTATGCCTGCCTGGGATGTCTTTCATAGCACTTTGAAGGTGTCCGGACTGGTATATTTGGCCTTCCTCCAGCAGCTCCTTGTTTCCTCCTGGGTCTCATTCACAGTCTCCTCCTTGAAGGACTCTTTGGAATTTTAGACTCTTACAAATGATGAATGGCTGGAAGAAATACACCTCTCAGCTACCATGAAGAGGTACAGTCCTCTGTGAATACTTATGTGTGGTGGTTGTGATGGGCTCCACTGATTTCTCTGAGAATCAGCTCCCTTGCTATTTGGTGTGCAAAGTCCCTTTCTGCATGTCCTTCTGCTGCCCCTGGCCAGCCAGTGTCACCCACCCAGTGCCACACTAAGCAAGTATGGGCAGGTCACTCATTGGGCTCTGCCTCCTTCCTACAGTTTCCAAAGTCCTTCCAAGTAAGATTGCATCCTTATACAAACACAAGGACAATTATATACATGCCAATATATTTTTACTATGCCCTTAAAAATGTCCTTCCTGTTTCTCTGCTATCTGTATATTTTAAGTCTTACTCTGTGCAGGTAATTTCTTGTCCCATCCACAGATGCATCTGCAGGACAAGAGGGGACAGTGGGAAGCAATTATTGTTGAGGTCCTGGAAACTGAGAAGTTGCATTAATGTGATGCCATGCTGGAGCTAATTAGCCCAGTGTCACAGCGGGGTTAATAAGCTTGGGCACAGTGCCACAGCTTCTGATTCCCAGGCTGAGGGGCTTTGCAGGTTCTGGCCCTGGTATGCTCCTGGTTGTTTCCCGGATGATTACAGTGATGAAGGTGGCATGGGAGGAAAATGCGACAGTGAGGCAGGGACTCAGCCATGTGCCATGAGCCCCTTCCTCCATCTCGCCTCTCCTTCTCCCCCCTCTTCCTTCCTTGTCCTCTATCCTAATCACGCCTCAGCTTGCAAAGTCAGGGCCCCCAGCTGTGAAGGACTAAGTCTCTTCTTCTCCCAGCCTCCCAAGTGGCAGCAGGCTGTGAGCGAGAGTGTGCCTCGTGTCACTCCTGTTGAAGAGGCAGCGAGAGCAGGGGAAGAGCCCAGACGCGGGCGGCTGCCGCACTTGGCTGCCTGCCAGGGCAGGAGCACGCCATTCACTCCTGGGGAGCCAGCAAGCACTCCCCCTCAGCCGGCTGCCTCCAGGGCTGGAGTCTACCCAGCCTGAGGTTTTATTTTGGCATGTCAAGGAGCACCCTGCAACTGAAGGATGTGGGGGGAGCGGTGATGAGTTCCATCAGGCTGCTCTCCTTCATTCTGGTTTTGGGATCATCTCCCTTTCTATTCTGCAGAAGGGCTCATAGTTAAACCTCCCTCTCTACCTCTACCTTTGATGTGCTGGGTGACAGATTTTAGCTTCAATGGCTGCCAGCATGTTGCTGCCTGATGTACAGCAGCTCCAGGCAGAGCAGGGCAGGAAAACATCACATAGCAGCACAGAGGAACCTGGAGAGCAAACACATCCCATTACAAGAAAGTTGGAAAGGCTTTAAATATTCACACTGAGTGAATGAGATGTAAACTTTTCAGAAGCTTGGAAACTCTGGTTCCAAAATCATTTGAGTGTTCTTGAGTGTTTCACCCAGGATTTTTGCTTTAAGGTTTTCTGCTGCTGCATTGTGCTGCATTTCATGACTCCAGGATTAGATCAGACTGCTTTTTGAGGCCATGGGTAAACTTTTTCTTTGTTTTTTTTGTGTCCAAGTCTGCCATTCTTTGACCTTTGCAGGACCTCCAGATACACAAAACGTCCCTGTACTCATGGTCTGTCTTTCGTGCGCGGCATTTGCTCATTCTCTGCATACGCTTCACTGAAGGGGTCTAGCTGAGGAGGCAGAATGTTGGCCCTGGGTGATCTGACCTGGGACTGGAGCTGGTGACAGAGTGGAGAGGAGTAGAACTATTTCCTGTGGCTGAGGGATGCATCTGTACCATAGCCCTAGGTGGCATGTTTGCCCATCTTTAGGAGTTAGCCAGTCAGTTCCCAAATGTCACCTGTCTCTCCTGCACCTGTAAATGTGCATCACAGCAGGACAAGGGGGCCATCTGGAAACCACTGCAGTCTCTATGGCTACATCTACAACACTGAATAAAATGCTCCATACTCTGGTTCTACTTAGTTTACTTCTGCAGACATAGTCTATGGTGATGGAGCCCTTTCACAATTTGGGGGGAATTACCTATTTGCCTTTTCAGGTTTAGCCATCTGGTGCCTTTATTTATTTAACTCACTTTAAAGAGAGGTGCACATTGCTACCCTGTGTCTGTGGTTTTTGCATCTGGAAATACAGACACCATCACATATTTCACACATTACCCCGGGGAAAAAAAATCATTTGCCCCCAATGTCTTCAGAATTCAATTCTGAAAAGTTAAATAAATTGTTATCGCTTTTCAAGTGCCATAATAAATGTATGGAATGATGTCACAAAAAAGCTTGAGGCTTAGAGAGTAGGTGCTAAAGAAATGCATCAAATTAGACCAAAAAAGAGGCATAAAATCTATGTTATCCCAAAAGATAAGGGCTGACGGCTCAAGTGACTTTTCTGTTTGCTGCTGTACTAAACATCAAATTCATGTTTCTGCCTAAAAGAATTTGCATCTCTGCAGTGAGCAGATCCGAAGGCTTTGTTTTGCTGGAGAGGTATGTGGTAGGGCGGGAGAAGAAGAAAATGATGCAAGCCGGCATGGTTTGTAAGCGAAGGGTCACAGATGGGTGAAGCCTTGCAGAAGTTAAAACTGAAAAACAAGCCTTTGGTGATGCTCCTGGAGCATCCTGAACATTTAGAACTGAAGAGGTTTGAGTTTGCCTCAGCAACGTTATGTATGCATATGCATGTGTTATAATGAATATGATAATTACAGGAGATAATTTGTAATATATGTGTATTATATATGAGTGCCTCCTCAGCAGGCTAAAACAATGCCATGAGAGTGCAAAGAAATGTGAAATCTAATTACTGTAGCTGTGTAAGTGAAGTAATGAGGAGCTTGAGAGTGTGACTGATAAGCAATTAGATACTAGACTAATGAGCAAGCTGCCTACAGTCCATCAAAAGAGTAAGGGAGGCTTGTGCAAGACACCTCTGGCATTGCAAAGAGGACAATAT